TGAAACATTTTGTTCTCTTGGCTTCAAATCTCCTCGTTTTCTTCCCACTACTTTGGTTAATTCTTCCAAGGCTGTTGCTCAGCACATCCTCTTGCATCTACTCCTCAGTTACCATTCCTAATGCTCTGCCCAGAACCCTCCCTGAGACTTCAGTTCCCATCTGCTCCATATCACTCCATATCACCAGCCTATAGAACAAACCAACAATACACACACAGACACACACCTGCCACTTAAAACATTCATCCATCTGTAATTATAAAGATATGCGAGAATCTGATTAACTGCTGTTGCCCCTGCTCCACTGAAAGCTCCATGAAGGCAAGGATGATCATGTGTGTTTCGTTCCCTCTGGTCACTTTCCGTGCACTAGTTGAACAACTAAATAAGCGTTTCTTGTCTTAAAAGTCTCCAAAGGATCTCACTACCCAGTCACATCAGAACTCCTGAACACGGCAGGCAAAGTGCTTCACACACAAAGCGCTGCCTGGCCTCTCTGGACTGACCTCTGGCCACACTCCGCACCCACCTTACATTCTAACTACCCTGGACAGCCTGCATTTTCAGGCCAGCTATCTTTCTGAGAGGTCCTTCCACTGCCTACAATTCCTTTCTCCATCCTAGAGTCTCTCTTGGAGCTGCTTAATTACCAGATAAGGCTCAGCTACCTACTAATATCTATAATTATAATATTAAAACTTTAAGTATCTGTTTCCCCAACTCACTGTGACCTTGGACATCCCAACTCTTGACTTGACATAGGAGGGGTTAACTTACTGTTAGTTAAACATTGTGTTTCAGGAGCCCATCAGAAGCACACAATCAGAAGGGATAACTTTCAAATGCATCATAACACGCGGAAAATACCTCTTCTGATATTAAATTATCTTGTAATACACAAATCCACATTAAAATAACTCATGAAAATTAGATCAACCTCAGGAGTAGTAAATAGGAGGGACAAGATAAATTCATTTGGTAGCAAGGGAGAACCAGACAACGCATGTGAAGGAGCTCCGTACATTCTAACGCACTATATAACTTCAACTTATTTTTACCATTGTTTGCAATCAAAGACCTTACTACACAACAAAGATCTTCCCCTACCCTGGGGTCATCCTTAACCTTTCCAAACCAGTAGATGGTGAAAAAAGAAAATTATTAAGAAAAAACAACTCCCTCAAGAGCTGAAGCAAAAGCTGAATGGAGTTTGGCCGTTTTGCCTCCCACACATGTTCCCTTTCTCCAACCAGTTCACGAGGGTAAGGAAGAAGCACAGAGCAGATTCAAGACAGATTATTCCAGGACCTTTTCAAATGCAGCCAGGCCTGCTGCTTCCTCTTTCTCCTCTACAAGAGTTAGACCCATACTTTTCCCTCCCGCTTCACCCTGAGAAAAAAGCAAGTTCAATTCAATTGTTATAATAAGACCCACCCACCAAGGATGGTGCCAAATGCTGTGTCCCAATACAACAGGGCAATGCATTCATGCTCTGGACAAACATGAAAAAATCTAAGGAACCCAGAAGTGGCCGAGGGAGCGTATATTCTGGAGACAGACCAATGTGGGTTCATAACCAGCGTTGGCAAAACTAACCCATGGTGTGAGATGGGGATGGTGGTTATTCCAGGAAGGAGGGCTGCGGTAGAGACTGGGAATGCATGAAGGTAATATTTCTCTTTCTGACCTGGGAGGTGGGTACGCGAATGTATTCACTGTGTGAAAATTCAACAAACTGTATTCCTATCTACCTCTCCAAGCTTTCATTTCCTCATCTCGGGAACAAAAAAAATTGATATCCTATTGAGTTGTCCTAAAAAGAATATAGTTTCAATAATGATAAATATTAAATACTAGAAACCCAGTGCACGAATTCATGCATGGGTGGGATCCCTTGGCCTGGCCCTGCCCTCGGCCTGGCTGGCAATCGGGGCCTTCTCGCCCAACAGAGGTTGGCTGTGGGAGCACACTGACCATGAGGGGGCAGCTCCTGCATTGAGCATCTGCTCCCTGGTGGTCAGTGCATGTCATAGCTACTGGCTGGTAGTCCAGTTGTAATGGTCACTTAGGTTTTTATATATATAGATAATAACATATCAATTGATACACTTAACAAGAGTTCATATACATAAAATGAAGAAACATAATATATTAAAAAGAGCGTGGCCTGGCACTTGGCACAGAGCAGGTACTCCAAAACTGGTAACTGCATAGCTGAATTTGCACCAAGGGCTCTGTCCTAGGAGATACTAACTACATTCTGCTCCAGCTGGTTCACATGTGGTAAATTAACTCCTGTGGCTTCTGCCCAACATAGCGACTTGCGAAGGAAACAGCTGGTACCCCAAAGACGCTCTGTAAACCCTGAATGACAATGGTCAGTCCAGAAATGGGTTAGTTCCCATGGCAGCAAATGCTAACCTTCCCTCCCCTTCCAGCCATATGACAGGACCCTTAAAACCGGCTCAGGGATGAGAACAGAACAATCCACAGAGAATCCTGAAATCCTGGTCCTGCGGAGAACTTAAGTTCAAACCACCACAAAGGCCACCTCTGATGGAGGGGAAATCTGAGGCACAGAGCAGCTGCGTCACTTGCCTGACCTCACACGGCTAGGAAGAGCCAGGTTTCCTGACGTGGGTCTACTCTGCTTTCCTGCTTCGATAGGAAACAACTTCATCCACTGGGACTGAACCACCCCCTGCTTCTGCAGCACTGGTGGCTGCACAAGCAAAGAAAGAGGGGAAAACTTGTTCTGGCATCCTTTCTTTTCAGTCTTGTGACACGGCCCTCTGCTACCACAATATGATTGCCTGTCTGTAAACTGCTCAGCTCGGCCAAGGCCGGAGTGTTACATCCCTGGCCAGAGGCGACCACAGAGTCCAGGGGCCTGGCCCAGAGTAAGTGTGCATGCAAGTGCTCCACCCTCTGAAAAACGACCATACCCAGCCGCATCCTACGAGCGCAGCAGGCAGAGTTGACAAATTACAATTTGTAAGGAAATGCCCAGAGAGATGCAACAGCAATTTCATTAATTATTCCACTGTTTCAAAAATCAAGTTTAGTAAAAATCAGCCATTTTCACCCCTACTTAAAAAAAAAGCATTTTGTCATAATATAAAGCATTTCCAAAACCCATTCTTTCCAAATTAGAAATATGGGTTTCCTGTTTCCCTTCTGAATGAGTGACAGGCTTCCCTTCAAGGGGATGAGATGATTAGGATTCAAATTTTCAGAGCTCATTTGGATACTAAGTTGAATGACTATCGAATTTAAAAATATTTTCCCTTGAAACCAGAAATTTATTTGAAGTAATTACAAGATTACACACTGAGAAGTTAAATTTCAATGGCTTTAAGAAGAAAAACTATTGTGCCAATAGTCTTATTAATCAAAGAGCTTTCCAAAGCCAAAATGAGACATCTGCTTTTTCAGAGACACCATCAGAGACGAATCCTTACTCAGTCATTCATTCCATAAATATTTATTGAGGCTCTACTTGTGCCAGGTATTGTTCTGGGCTCTGAGGAGACAATAGTGAGTAAGAGAGAAAGGTCTTTGTTTTCTCAGAGTTACTGACCGGCAGTCAGTAACTGAGGTGTCAGAAAGACCAAGGGAAACAGAGACAACGGGGAACAGATATCCCAGCTGTCTTAACTGATGGTCTAAGTATGTAGCCTTCAAGGTAGAATGAAATTACTTCAAAGTATCATAGCAAAAATATTTCTTCCTTAACAGTTTCTGTGTATATCCTTAAAGTATACAAAGTTCTAACATGCATACACACCCAGAAAACCATAGCCAAATTCGAGATAACAGACGCTTTGCCGTACTAGCAGTCAGCAACTGTGCGAATGCTCCAGCCATGAAGACAAGAGGCAAAACAATCCAGAGATGGAGGATGCTGACGACGCTTTGCCATGCTAGCAGTCAGCAGCTGTGCATCGCTGCAGGTTGCCCAGGATCAAACCAGAGAGGGTCGGACCTGCATTGCCACCATTTGTCCACCATCCAGAACTGAAATATCATTGCTGACATGTACACATAAGGAACTGTCGAACATTGAAGCTTGGACTCAGAACTGCAGGACATCGAAATCAGGACTTAAACATTTTTGTTCTTGATGTTTAAGTTTTATTTTCATTGTAGTAGCTTAATAATAAAATAAAGGTGGGGGGGGGGATGTGGGGAACTGATATAGGGTTGAGCCTGGAACTGACCTGCTGGCAAAGTCACAAACAAGTGCCAGCTCAGAGGGCACAGTCCTCTTAGCATAATTAGGCTTGACCTTATAACACTCCCCAGATCTTACCTGGGAAGCTAATGGGCTGAGGGAAGTGCAGGGAGTGTAACTATGGTCAAAACAGGTGAAACTCACAGGAACTGTGTAACTATGGTGACCACTGCCTTGTTTACCTCTGACTATAAAATGGTTGGTGCAGCCTGAGCACCGGTGAAAGTCCTTCCTCTTGACTTGGACTTACCCGCCTGGCCCCCCAATATTCCCAAATTGTCCCTTGTCTTTTCTCTTTCATTTGTGTGCGGCTCCTCTTCCAGATCCTGAACCCTGAACCACGCGGGACGTGGAGGGAAACATTTACAACATCACACCCCAAGTTTCTTCCTGCTTCTTCGGGGTCCCTGTCACATTCCCCTGCACCACCCCTCCCCTGGAGCCTCTGATCTGATTAGTTTGCCTTTTCGAGAATAGAATTTGTGTGGCTTCCTTCACTCAACATATTTATTTGAGACTCATCCATGTCATTGTGTGGATCAATCATTCACTCCTTTTTATGGCTGAACAGTGTTCCATGGCAGGGAACATTTAGGTAATTTCCAGTTTGGGGCTATCACAAATAGATCTGCCTAATGCTGATATACTCTCTTTCACCCGAGACCCCATTTGCACCCCACCTCTTTTTGTAAAGCTTTTTCTGAAGACTCCCAACACTTAGGGCTTCCCACCCCTCCTTCTGATGTCCCGGAAAACCAAGGCTATGCCATGTGTGACACATGGAGAAGGTACCCCTTCCCATGGAAATAAATACATTCAAAGATCATGAATAACCCCACCTTGCACTGCTCACTCCCAGAGTCTTACCTGTGAATATTGGATACACTTGCAGTGACCAAGATTCCATAGCACATTAACACCAGCACAAACAGATGTGCAGAGTACCTTTAAGACATTGGGGGGAAAGGGGAGCAAAAACACTGAATATATTTCATATTAACATATCTATTGCTACCAATACTGCTACTCCACCTCCACCTCACCAAAAAGCAACTGATCAGTTAACTATGTTTATGTAAGAAAAATAAATCAAGTATTTTTGTTCTGTGGAATTAAGAAGTTTAGCTTGAGATGATATTAGGAAGTCTTGACACAATCTGCCAGTTGTAGCACTAGTAATGTTAGGAATCATGAATGGGATGCTTGTACTTTACTTTTATTTTTTAGAGAGAGGAAGGGAGAAAGAGAGAGAGAAACACTGATGTGAGAGTAAAACATCAATCAGCTGCCTCCTATTGGGGATCGAGCCCACAACCTGGGTATGTGACCTGACTGGGGAATAGAACAAGCAACCCTTGAGTGCATGGGATGACACCCAACCAACTGAGCCACACCAGCCAGGGCTTAAACTTTTTTCACATACAC